TCAGTTATGTACCCGTTAGAACTGTCAAGTTCTCGCAATGGATATTTGAAGATCCTGAATTATTGAGTAGTACGCGGAAATAGTACTTTTTTAAGTAGAAAATTAATGGTTTCGCGTGAGCCTCCGAGAATATCGGTCTTGTGACAGCGATAATTTTCAGTACTTATTTAACGACTCACGAGCAACCTGTTGTTTCGTATACACGTTCGACGTATATTTTCCTCGATTCGCAATTAAGGAATTGCACCGGATGTGTCGCTCCGCAATTATTATTGCACCGGATGTGTCGCCCCGCATTCCGATACTTTCCGACACTTTCTCACATGCAGTAAGTATTGCTTATTAATTTATTGCATACTTGATACATACAATGTAAATATCACTATTATTTTTCCATTACGTTAACGCAATATCGATCGGCGAGCACGTCTAAATATTCGGCCGCTTCAGCAAAGAAATATTCCAAGTATTGATCCAAGGCGAGCTGTGGTGCCTACTTACACGTGCTACCGTCACTTCATAGTTCGCAAGTTGAAAATGAATTTCGCCGTTTGCGAACTTCCCCGGAGGGAGCGCGGAGATTGTTCGCGAATCTTTCCCCGTGAGATTGCGCGTTAATAATTACGCGTTTCGCGAAGTATCCGGAAATGGAAATCTTGCAGATTTTAGTTCGTAAAGATATGTAACTGAAAAAAGTATCTATCGTTACATCATATATAAAGAAATTCGCAAATTTATACAAATTTCATACATATCAACTCTCTTCCTCTTCTTTTTTTCTCTCTTCCTCGTTCAAATCACCTTTCTTAAAGCGTAGCTTGACACGTCGTTGTACATACACACCGGGAAGGAAGAAAATCGATAATACGCGTCCGTCCACGCTGCCGTGATTCACCGAAGAAGCAGAAATTCCCGCGTTACGAAGATTTACTCTCTCGCTCGGGTCGATCTTTGCGATTAAATTAGTGGGTATCTGTGCCGAACGGCACGCATTACGTCTGTTAATTCACCTGGACGATCTAATTCCACGCGCGAGCCAAGTCTGCGCGAGATCGTAAGTTGATGCTCGATATCGCGGGTTGCAGATTTCATTCCGCCGTGCGCGCACGGCGTTAACTCAATTATCATCGCACGGACGATAAAGCATACGTTAAGGCTTCATTCATGCCGGCGGCTGAAACCTTCAAACGACGTCACGACTACTCACCCCGTGGCACGAAGCTGCGCGTAATTTGTTTCTGCTGCGTCGCGGCCTCCTGGAAAATTGTCAACCCGTCGCAATTACTCCCTGAAAAATGTGCGCCGATGTCGCGCATCGAAGTCACCACGATTCAGATAATAGGATCGACGTATCCGTCGATTCGCCCAAAATGATTCACGACAAAAATAAGCGGGCGATTTCTCTTAGAAAAGAAAGGAAGAAAGGAAGAAAAAAGTACGCGAGGGGACGACGGGTTGACGCGAGAAAATCTCGCGTGTTGGTTGCTCCGCCTCGCACACCGAGCGTTCGTACACCCTCGCGACGCTAACCCTCGAATATTTTGCCGGTAATCTGCGATCAATCCGCGTTTCCCCGCGGCACCCCGAAGATCCGCGAGAGGCACGCGAGCGGTTTAAGCTGTCGCCGTGAAGTTACAACGACGAGAGAGAGAGGTCTACCTCAACTTCAATGTCCCGAAAAGGAGCTTACGGTCTCTCAAGCTCAACGATGCCTCGCGGACACGTCAGACGCGACAAAACTTTGCCGCGAATCAAGGATACGTGAATACGTAACGAGGGTTGGTTGTAGTTGGCGCGACTTCGCTTCGATTCGCTATCGGCCTGTGTGCGCGCCGGCCGAGCTGGCCTGCCGATGTGCTTAGCGTAACGACGCGGCAGCGAAATACGGTTTATGCCGATATGTCCTTGAGATACGCGATCGAGCTGGATTTCATACGTTCCATATTCCACGTTCATCAACTCACCCTTTTCCGTGACCGGCCGCTATTAACGCGATTCTAATTCATTACATGCTCAATATATGTCGCGACTTAATTAGCTTTAATTTTATTTATCTCGTCACATTGTATCGCGTCCCGTTATAAGAAAATGAGTGAGAGAGAGAGAAGGAGAGAGGTGTTTATTTCAATTTTAGAAATGCATGAGACTACTAAGTAAATGCTAGAGACTACTAAGTAATTACATGAATCATAAAACAAAAATGTGTACATCAGTAGATAAAGAAAATTACAACGAAAGGAAGAAGGAAAAAACAAAGACAAAATAGATCAAGTAGAATAATAATAAAAGATGGAAAGTTTTGAAACAAAAAAGAACCTACTCTGAGTGTACAGTAAATGAAAAAATTTTACACAAGAGAGAGAGAGAGAGAGAGAGAGAGAGAGAGAGAGAGAGAGAGAGAGAGAGAGAGAGAGCGAGAACGAACAGCTTTTATTGTCCTCCTAGAACAATTCCTCTAAGGATGTTATAGATATGAACTTACAGAATAATATAAGAAAAAAGAAAAAAAAATAGAAAGGTATGGAATTACGTGATCCACATTCGTGCGTGACCGTAGAAGCATAAATAGCGTTGTAACGTGTTTCAAAAGAAAAATAGAAAGCAGAAACGAAAAGAAAATGAGTAAAGATTAGAGAAAAACACATGCAGAGAGAGAAAGAGAGAGAGAGAGAGAGAGCGATTGGGGAGGAGGAGAGTACTGTAATAATATATTAATATGACAAATATGCGCTATCGTATTACCGTAATGATAAATTGACACAATAAATTCAGCCTGTTATCTGTCAAGTGTTGGAGTCAAGTGGTGAGAAATCTCAAGAACATTTCGTGCTCATCTCTATGGATCATTCGTCTTTCTCGCGTAATGTTTTCATTTAATTAATTGATATAATAACGACACATCTCTAATGTGTTGAGACGCGCTAGTAGAAATCGAGATATCTCTGGCAGAACTGTAACGTTTTAACTAGCAATAACGGTTGATATTTTTTGCTAGCAAGATTGTTTAGAAAACATCGCAGGAGAGTAAATCGATGTGTTGTATATCTTGTTGCCACAACATACAGTTACGGTGTTGTGCAACGTACCGAGTATAGATCAGGAGGAAAATTCAATAGATGATCTAATGTACGCGTAAATGATAATCGATACGATCCGCGTATTATCTGTTGCTAACTCTTGTCTTATTCTTCATGACAATATCTGGCGTATGAATTATTTCGCCTGGCGGCATGCCTCATGCGTTGTTCCTTCTGTTAATGGCGAGGCGGCGGAATCGGATAGTCCGATCAGATACACGCCAATAGATAAATAAACACGTAATTTGCGTCACGATGATCTGTCAATTCCATGAAAAAGAAGACAAATATTGTTCTCGATAATTATTTGTCGGTTCAATGCGTCTGACATTCGAGGCCGGGAGCTTCACTCGGGTTTCGCGTTACGGTTTCGTCGGAATTGCAGACATCCTCGTGTTCCATCGTGTTGCAGCGTCGAATATTAAGCTGCGCTCGTGCGCGCGAGGTGAAATATGTAAAGAGAAATTTATAAATATGGATTGTTTCGTCCGTTCTGGAAATACCAATTCCCATCGCGATGAGGACCGCGTAGACGAGCGAGAGAATGATATCAGCGAAGTAAAATGTCGGTTTTCTTTAAATTTACTTTTTGATAACGCACCATATTATTGACCCATCGCGCGGTAACCTCTCCACCGTGATTCACAAACGGATCAGTGTTGGATTTCAGTCGTCTGCTATTGAAACGCGGCCTTATTCGCGAGTCGTCGATTACGTTTGTCAAATATGTCATCTGACTACATTGCTATACATTTGTTCGCGTTACGTTGTCACACGGCGTTCTTTTAAGTGGACGTCAGCATGTTTTATACACATCAAACGTAGCTGAACGATTCCTTTGTCGGACGACGGACCCTCGCCGATGGTCCATCCCGCCCGAAGTTTCACATTTTCCCTAGCTTCGTCTCATCGAGCATTTTCGATATCGATCGTTCGTTTTCCTTATCCCGTGGAAATTTGGCTATCCTAATATCGGCCACTCTAATATCGGCCGACTTCTATCCGTGACGATCAACGGACGTTCCTTATCGTGGATTTGATTTATCACGCGTTAGCTATCACTTAGGTCGAATGAGATTGGTGGTAAGCAGAAAGAACGAGTTCTGTCGCTTCGGTAAGAAGTAAGCGGGAATTGAAATCGTGAAATCTAGCTGTAATTTAGAGGAGGGGGCATGTGTATGTTCTATAGATACGTCACGTTATAATTCGATTGTTATTATTCCACAATCCGCGATCCTCGAACCGAGGCTAAAAAATTCATTGTCAGGCGACGAGGAGATTCGTTACAACCGATCGTTTAATTTTTCGTGCGAATTTTTAAAAGCTCTTTACGATAAGTCGTTAGTCGTCACTCATATCACACTGGTGGTAGAGTCGGAATTATAATTAATAAATCTCAGGAAATTGACATCCAGAATAGATCGTAATAAATCGTTGCGTCACGATTTCAATCAATCAGAGAGATATCAGTAGTTCTAATCAGCTCTCTCGATAAAGACAGCGTATTGCTTTTCGTTCGATTGGTCAGTCGTAACGCGATCTAAGTTTTAAACCGTAAGAAATGGAAGTTGGCCATCTCCACGCAGTCACTGATTACCGACTTGTTATTGCCTTATGATATACTATTGACTACTTAACTCACAATTCGTCCTTGACTTCTGATCAGTTAGAAGTATCCATAAGTAATGTCGTTTTCTCAGATTGAATAAATATTGCCAGCTTGTTCGTGGACGTGATTCATTATAAGCGACGAAGCTTAAAACATCATGGTCAACATGGTCATCGTGTTAAATAAAATAAAATGTTACATAAATATCAAAAAGCGACGTTACTTATAGATATCTAATATTACTAACGGCTTATCGCAGAAAGCCTTCTGGACTCTTCAAGCCCTGACCGAGGCCTCTTTCCTTTCTGTTACAGCCTGCACCCACGAGACGTAATCACGTGGGAGCCAATCGGTGAGACTTGGCGGCGTGCGAAGCTGGTGTCCGCGAGTACCGAAAGCTGGGGCACCTCGACGAGGAGAAGGTCCTGGAGGAGGAGGAGGTGGCTCGCAGGCGGGAGGGAAGCCAGGAGGTGACTATCTACCCCACATGGACGCCACCCCCAAAGGACCCCCCGTACCCCCCACACCGGATATCCTGTCGTCATTATCTCGCCGCGGAATATCCGACTTGATTGTCGCGGTGCCGCGCCGTGCCTTACGTCGCTGTCAACGTCGTCGAATATCATCCAGGCCCCCTCCGTTGCTCGTTCTCGTACGTCGCAGAACACGGAGAACATCATCCCCGTCATCACCCACGTGCCTCAGTAGACCCCTTCGTCCTCTGCGCCCCGCGGTGGTGGAAGGATCGCCGGCGACTCCTCGTCGTCTCCTCCTCAGCATCCTGCGAGTGGAGCGTCGTCATCCGCAGAGATTGTTCGTCGCTGCTGGCAGCGAAACGACTATCCTGTCCGGAAATTACCGTCGCGTCTGTCGGCGAGAGCTGTACCTGCCGACGACGACGACAAGGACGTCGATCGCCCGGACGGAGGGAGAGTTTTTTACGCACGCTTTTGCACCGCGTAGACGCGCGTTTGATGCTCGCTCTACAACCAGCCACACCGACCAAAGTCGCGACGGGAGATCGCTCCGTCTAACGGCCGTCATCCTCCGCGTCGGACATATCGACAGACTCCGTCCACAAACGCCTAACTCGAAAGTACAGCCTAAAACACTACGCGAACAATGTCGCGCAGCGCTGCCACGCGGCCTATGCAAGGTGAGTGATCTTTTATTCAACGTCGGGCGGGAGCTTCGACGCGACACGCGTATCGAAGAAGCTTTTCTTCCGTATTGTGTTATGATACTCATTAGCATCAATGATTCTCATTATAAACGATGATCATCGCCTGCATCGTGATTGTGATGTGAACGTAACGTAAACGTTTCGACGTATCGTATACGTGCGCGTAATTTCTACTCTAACGCGAACCGTCAGTTCGATGTAACACATTGAGAGAAAAATATAGTTATTTTCGGGAGGCAACAATATCCTTTTTTTAAGTAAGTATTACTGTGGTAGCAGTGATAATAACCTTACGTGCATGTTGCTACTATTGCTTTTGCAGTTAAAGTAAAAGAAGGATATTGTTGTCCCCGGAGATAACTATCTTTTTTCTCAGTGTAAAAAGAAATTCGTATTACGTGGGCTTTCAATTTGACGTAGGGGTTGATCGAGAATGTTGCATTTAAGTCGAGCAACAAAACGCTCCCCTTATGTTCCCCACTTTCGCTTTCTACCCTTCCAGTGTCCAGGCCGTACCATCGCGGAATTATTGTGTAGCGTTTCTCCGTCTACACATTTACCCCCGGTAATCCCCCCTGCTATTCATCGGCCGATAAATATCCCGCCGGGTGGGATAACAGTCGGTGTTGTTAGTCACTTCTCCGAATTTTGGCAAACAGAGCTCATGAAGATGAAACGATTTATTCTATGAGTCGCGTATCGCGTTCGCGCGTTGAATAATTTACACGCGTTCTAGCGATACAATCGCAGCCGACGATATCGGCCATCAGCATATTTAATCTCTATATTATGTGAAACAAATATTCTGATCGTTTTCCACCGGTTTTCTAGAATTCTGTTCTGCATTTTTTTTTTTTTTTTTTTTTTTTCATTTATTCGTCCATGCAAAAACGAAGCAACTTGAGCGACAATCTTTTGAGTCGGCTTCGAGTGATGACGGGGTGTCATTTCTCGGACAGAAGCTGCACTAATCTTTTTTTTTTACTAGATTCTACATCTGCAACGGTGTTTTTTTGCACAAGAGACCGTACAAGAAAAAAGTAAAACTTAAAAATTTATTTGTAGGGTATAAGAAAAGGAGAGGTTGTCCCGTTTATTTCTGTAAAATGGAACATGTCGACAAACATTTGCTGTTCTAACAAAATTTGTTTCCTCCGCGCGAGAGACCACGCGTCGTCATCGCTGAAAACCACTTCCCTTCCGGCTGCAATTTTTACCGACTCGCGCATCATCGTTCGAGTCTCTCCTGATAGTTCGTACCAGCTGGTCGGGAAGGGCGCACGGTTCCGGGGTGGATTCGATCGATGCCCCCGGAGCTCTCCGTTTCACCACCGTCAATGCAGCAGCAGCCCTCTTTACCCCCGCGGTCGCCGTGTCGACGAGCGTCTAGAATTTCCACCGTGCCGGCGTCGTGGCGCGTCGCGACGCTGCGTCGCGTGGCGCCGTCGTTGGACGACGCCTCGAGATCGCGCGTCGACACTGCGAAGCAGCAGGCCCCCGCGTGTGTGTGTGTGTGCGCGACGAAACTGTTTCGTTACTTCGTGGTGGAAGAAGTGCGCCGCTGTGAGGGCCCTCCGCGAGAGACCGGACGTCCTGGTGCGCGTTGATTCGTGATTTGCGTCGCTGTGCGTGCATGCGGGCAAGACGTGTGTGCTGGTGTCCGTCCGTTCATCATCAACCAGGTGTCTTCTCGCGCGCCGGCTCGTCGTCGTCGACGCGCGCTCGCTCGGTGAGTCTCGCTGCCGTGGCGATGACGGTGGTGGTAACGACGGCGACGACGATAACGCTGCTGGTGACGGCGAAAAGCACCACCGAGTGCCGGTGCCGTGAAACGAAAGACGGTGTCCGCCCAATCACCGGCTGATCTATTTGAAAGAGGAAGAGAGAGAGAGAGACTCAGATATATATATATATA